ATAGCTTGCTTAATATTAATATAACATTTCTGAATTAATTTATTTTAGTAAGTTATGTTCATAACTAAATCTTATTTTAGAAATCATTAATCATTTGACATTTTTCTTAACAGCATTTATCATTCAATTTTTTCTTAATGTGATGTCAGTCATTTGATTTTTAAAAGGTTTTGTTATAATTAATACTGTAAAGTAGTAATTTTACATATCATGGAAATCAAAAATAAATCTGGAAAGTTGCATGCAAATAAAATATCTCAAACCAATGGAGAAATAAATATTCTAACATTTTAAATATAACAGACTTTTAATTCTTAGATTTAATTTGAACAAAGTAACTTAAATGATTGGATCACTTTAGAAATAACTTGAAAATATTTCTACACAAAAGGTTCAAGTAATACATTTAATTAAGATTTCAAAGAAATCAGAGAACTAGATACTAGAACCTTTAACATGTTGTAATTTTCTCAACTTCATGTATCATCTTTAATCATTATCTATAATCATCATTTAATAAATAACTATGGTTGAAAATTGCTTGCTATATGAAAAATGGAGATTTTTTTTTTTGAAGTGGATGATGATAATTTTATTTGTGTAACGTTTATATTGAATGACACTTGATCTGCAATGTCCCACGACTAATATGTATTTACATTATGACATTAATTAGATTTGTTAATCAACTTATATCAAATACCCCAATAAGTTGTGTATGTGATGCATATGTTGATCAATTAATAATAAATATTTTTTTAACAATTAAAAAATAAAAAATGTCATCAGGAGGACAAAGAAGAGAAAAAGAAAATTTTAAAGAAAAAGAAAAAAAGTGTCATTTATTGTTAAATGGTGGTTATCACTGCCACTCATCATTCTAGTTATTATTAAAAGAATGATAGTGGTTGTGCCATTCTAGTTATTCATAAGACTTTTTTTTTTTTTTAATTATCATGAATCCTTTTACTGTTGATAGCAATAATGAATAAAATAAGAAATTAATAAAAAGGAAGCTTGGTATATTCAATATAATTTACAATGTTTTTAATATAAGTTGCATTAACTAATTTAATTGATTTTTATATTGAATAGAAATGAATAGTGACAATGAAGAGGAAATTGTAGAAACCAATAATAATGACAATAATAAAAAAGTAAAAAATGACAATATTTCATATTTATCGAAACCCTCAATCAATCATATTATCAATAATATTGATGCAAATTGTGAAGAAACATTCATATTTGAGCATCAGCATATATCTAAACTGTCCTTTGGTGGTGTAAGTATAAAAAATATTATTTTTTAATGTGATATTGTTATTCACTTATAATGTAAAATCTAAAAAAATATATAGAACTATAGATGCTGGTCACAATTCTTGGTGATGGTTGCAACCATATTTGCAACATATAAAAATGGTTTGCAACCACTTTGGTTTCCTTTTTTGGATTGCAACATGGAACACTAATTGGAACAAGATATCAAATCTGGACTTATAAAATTATATGACTCTTCATCTAAATGGTAATCAAAATAATAAAGCTATTTCATTGATTATATGTAATCAAATTAATTTTCATGAAATTATTTATTCTAGTGATATAATTAGGATTGGTGTAGTTCCAACAACTAAGATCCCAAAAAACATTCTAGAGATGATTAAAAATATTTCTAAAGTCAAGACATTAGAAGAATCAGAAAAACTTCTACAGTAGCCATTCATTATTTAGCTCAGAAATTAGATTGAGTTTGGAAGTGGCAATAAGAGCATCTGCAGAAAAAATGTAATCATATAATAATATTCTTTCAGAGGATAAATAATACATATAACTGATTTGAATTTACTTAATAATACATAAAAAAATTTTTTTAAAAGATTTAGGTATTTTAGTCTTGATTATACATGCAGCCCAAATTGGTTTGGTGATTTTGATGGTCAAAATTATTCCAATTTTGATGGTAGAAAGTAGAA